CTCATTAATTAAGTGGCTTCTTTCTCAGAGCTGCCAAGGACCCTGTGAACTGCCAATACAGACCCAGTTTTTGTGGTGCCGAGCACCCTTCAAAATGAGGTGTCTTATTCCTGCAAGACGGGAGAACAACTCCCTCCTCCTGCGACATACTGCCAGGGAAGGGGCCTGTGCTGCAAGGAGAGGTGGGGACAGGGAATGCTGTGTGTGTTCCCAAACTGTGCTTCTGTGCCACAGACCTTAGTTCTACATGTAAGTGGTCACCCCCATCCCTACGCATTGAAGTACCTGTGCTCTGTCAGGTGGGCCATGTTCCTTGAGTGCATGTTACCATGGGACAGATGACATTCCACTGTTAACCTGGAAAATCCCTGGGCAGACCAGAACCAGAGAGAAAGGCAGTTAATGACATGAAGAAAATAGACTTGTCTTCAAGGCCAGGCTGGATGAGGCTTTGAGCAACCTGGTCTAGTGGAAGGTGTCCCTGCCCATGGCAGGGGAGTTGGAACTAGATGGTCTTTAAGGTCCCTTCCAACCCAAACCATTCTAGGATTCTATGACTTTCAACACCCTCCTGTTAACCAAGGCAAATATTGTCCGGAGGCAAATGTTGCTCCAACACCAAGAGACATACAAAGTCCGTTCGCTGCCATTGCAAGCAGAACCCTTGATTGAGTCTTTTGATTTACTGCAGCCTTTTCAAGGAAGCACCACTTATTTACTGCAGCCTGCTAATCCTGGGAGGGGGTACAAGGGCATGAAAAGGTCAGCTTGCCACAGGGGAAGCAGCGCAGGTACTGCTGGGGCAAACCCGGGTACCACACACAGATGCGGGATATTGATATTGGCACCAGCCAATATTACATTGGGTTGTGATCTCCAAAGGACACAATTAACACGTTGTTTTGCCTTTTTTCCCTCCAACATCCAAACACACCAGTGTTAAAATTGAAATAACTTTTAGACTATAATTGCTTTTACCTTTCAGTGGCTTTCAGAATGAATATCATAAAATAGTTGGCTTTGCTTTCTCTTTTGATAATGTGTCTCATGCCATCTCGCACAGTATAAATGCTTGTGCTCCTCCACGGTCACAGCAAATTGTTTACTCTTACTTTATAAAATCCCGAATTTTTGGTTTCTAGTCTTCATTTGCATTCATGTTAGGATTAAAAAACCAAACCAAACAATCAAACAAAAACCAACCAAAGAAACCTTTCACATGCATCTCTGAATTCCGAGTGGGTGATCTGCAGTCCACTGTGGTGACACTGTGGGATTACAGGGAGGGCTGTGTTAGGGAACTGTGCTAAGGAAAGGAGCCTGGGAGAACCTGGCTTGTATCAAAATGGTAATTATGAAAATCAGGTATTTCTGCCAGATACTGCAGTGGAAATATTGTCTTATGTAGCAGGATTTGTGCCCAAGAGGCAACATCAGAAATTCAGCAAAATCAAGCAATTACAGAGGAATTGAGATGTACGACTGAGCAATGAGACAGGGTAGATGAAATTACGATTTCAAAGATGATGTTACCATTACACTATCTAATTAGTAAATCAGTTTAATTTAATGCTTATGCTGTTCTGGAGAGACAGCAACAGCAATCCGTCATTCCAGGGCTTTGGCCCACCTGAGCTTTTATTGCAGCAATAGCCTGTCCAGTGTTCCAAGAAACACAGCGCATGCTTCCCAAGAAAGGTAATGAAGTCTCCCTTTTTTCCTTCATTGTCTTTTGCACTCAGATTGAGACACACTCGGAGATTTTGGGTTTTGGATCGTGCCTGCTGCAGCTGTACTGTTCGTTCTCCGGCAAGCGGGCATTTCCTCTAGCTGGACTCCCTCCAGTTGGCTGCCACTGGCTGAATAGAATAGATGCCATTTGTATTCTGTTGCAAACATGCCATGAGCTGGCGTTTATTTAGCAAAGTCATTCCTCTTGGTCTGAGATCTGTGTTACACAGTGAGGGAAAAGTAGATGTGAACTTTCATAGTTAGGATGTTATCAAAGACTTTTGATTAGACTGCAGAGCAGCAGCAGGACTTCCCTATTGATTTTCCACCCCCTAGTTTTGGGTAAATGTTTCGAGGCTTTTTACCACCTACCAACTGGCAGAACAAAGTCAGGAATCCCACACATGACTCCATGCTGAAGAACTGGCACTGATTGTGCTTGCAGTCCCCACTTTTGTTACTCATGAGAGCAAGAACCCACCGAACATAATGCTAGATTTGGTCTTGCAAGTCACAGTTAGACAACTCAGGATGCTATCATTGCAAGGAGTCTGGAAAGCCAAAAATTGGCAATACAGAGCAGACCATTTGGCAGACAGTATGTCGTTCTTGGAGCCCAACTCTGTAATTATGTCCTGTGTCCTCTTGAGAGGGGATGCCAAAGTTCCAGTCTTAGCAGGTGGCTTGTAACTGAGTGGAAGAAATCAATGGGGAACAGTGACTAAGTTAACAGCGAGAACATGTACGTGGGCCCTGATAAAGTTCTAGAGTTGAGAGATGCAGACATAGGTGAGAGGATTACATATATATGTAACCTGGATGAGAAAGCCCAGCTGTCTTGGTGGGAAGAATTCCCCCTTGGATGGAAGGAAACACTGTTTTTTTCTAAAATGTGCACTTACAGAATGCATTGGGTTAAAAATGAGGAAGATAGCATGTTCAATATTAACAGGATTTATTGGTCTGAAAGGTGAACGTGGTGCCTTGGAAGGAAAGGTGTGGGGCAAGCTGCACTGGGAGTTCTATTTGTTGAAGACTTTACATTTTCAAAGCTGGTTTTAGCTTAGAACGTCATGTCATCCATAAGAGAAAGCAATCGGATTTTCATCCTCTACTGCAGATTTATCATGTCAATTTGTCGGTGATTTATTGTCTGGTCCTTGTGGAGGATAATTGTGTCCATTCCCAACGTAAAAAGTGGTTTAGAATTTCTAAATTTCTAATTTAGAATAGCCTCAATTCTGGCTGTTGCACACAGAAGGGCTGATTCAACGCCAAATTTTGGTTCATAATGAAGAGGAAGGGAAATGTTGGGAATTAAGGTGTCTGGATACAAGAGGGAATAAATTACCAGCTGATGTCCCTGTCTTCTGGGTGCAGCACGTGTTCTGCTGATTTCCTGTGTGCGGGTTCTTTGCACATTCAAATCTTGTTGCCATTTTTTGTAAGTCGCTCAGACTAATAGCCACTGTTACTTGCTTTCTGACCAAGGACTTTGTTAACCATCAGTTCTCGCGAGGGTTGTTCATAACAATCCTGTTTTTCCTTGTGAGTGTTACACACCATGAATAAAGTTCTCTTTGAGAGGACAGGAACGCTTCCTGAGCTATAACCCAAGCACTCCCCTTTTTGTAGGGCAAGGAAAAACCCCAAGTGCTCTGGCTAAAAGCCTTCTGTTCTTTCTGTGGCTATGCTCTTCCAGTGTTCGTTCACTCCTCTCTATTGAGAGCGCTGCTTAACAGAAGACAGTCTTCGGCTCTTCTGCACACAGAATGGTTCCACCTCCAGCATCAGGCTGCCCGCTCCTTTCCTTTACAGCAGCAGGAGCCAGGCTGAGCTATAAGATGGATATTAAAGCAAGACCACCAACACGCTCTGCTAAAACACACTCTGCGACCTGTTCTTTGGGATCCCCAGGAGTGTCAACTTTCTGTCACCTTCTGCTGTGCTTGGCTTGACATACATTTACCCTCCAGGTCGCTACAGTTGGCTGCAGGGCTGTGAGTTGGTGGTTTCTCCTGCCTGTGATGTCTCCTCACTTGATTTTCAAGCGTCTTTAGATTGCAGCCTCATGTGTCGGATTTTGGTTGCAGTTTGTGTCTGATGTATGTAGCGGTTTAGAAGTCGCTGCACAAGCTTTGACTGTTTCTGAAACCGCTGAGCGTGTGTGCGCAGCAGTAGGATTTTATGCTGCAAATTCCCTGCAGTCTTTTGGTATAAACTAGTATTTTTGCCTCAACAAAAGGTCACAGATAAAAACAGAGCTGGACGTTTAAATACCCAGTGCCTTGAGACTCATCCCTACTGCTGCTACCACTCTGTTGGATTTACGGAGAGTAAAGTTTTTTGCTGGACAGTAAATATTGATGTGATTGTTTTAGCTACAGGCAGTCACTAAATATTACTGAGTTTTAGCAACAGCTTTTTAGAACTCAATCCTGCCGTTGCATGTCACTGCTCCTTCGCATAAGTGCAAACTTGTGCTCCTTTTCAAAGTTATCCTTTTTGGCTGTTGGAGGTGCAGCTTGTGTTCGCCCATAAACTCGGTGGTGCGTGGTCCTTCGGTGTGAGTGCAGCCCCTATGCTCAGACCTTCTCTGAGCCGGGGGGCAGAGGCACATCTTGCACACAATTACACTCCAAAGTGCAACAAGCTCAAGAGGTTGAAGAGGGAACGAGGCCTGTAGCTGACACAGGGATAAAACCATGTGAGAGTTCTGCTCCTGAAAATCAGATGGATCTCTGGTTTTTCGTTCTGTGAAAAACATTTCCCCCTTCCCACTCAATGCACATTAAATGAAATCTAATACCTCCTTTTGCTGAAAGGTGGGTAAGGTGTAGGAGTAAGCAGGAGTTGATAGAAATTGGAGAAGACTGATGTCTACATCGCCCCCCAAGCAATGCCAGTGGGGCCCTGTCGGCACCCCAGGAGGCTTGGTCAGTGCAGCAAGGTTAGACGCCCACATGTTCGGTCACAAGCAGTCAGGAGGGAGATAAAAATGGGTGTGGGAAGAATGGTAGATCGGTCCAGGAGGGTGACAGGGAGAGGAGAACCTCTGCCAAGCCGCTCAGAGCATAAGTTGCTCAGGCTACAGAGTGGCACATGGAAGGTTGAAGTGTGCAAGGGACATTCAGCCTTTATTCAACACACTGTTCCATTTTAAACCTCATGGATATGTTCATTAGGTGGTTGTTTAGGGAATTGTGTTCTCTTCACCATTGTGTCTCTTTTTCATCTAAGTGACTAATTTTTTTGCCCTTCTCTCCTAGATCTCAGACCTGATACGACAAAGCACAAAGGAGTCCTCAGTCTGGCAGTTCCTCAGCTTGGGGTATGCACTCATGCTCTGCCCGTTTGTCGTTGTCCTAGGAGGGATGTTTTTCCTGGCCACAGCCCTCTTCTTCCTAAGTGACCGAGCCAAAGCTGAACAACAGTGAGTAACCAGCAATTGCAAATGGGGAGGTACTTCAGCCTGTTTTTTGTCTTGAATGCCATGCTTGTATTCTTTCCCTGGCCTTGGTCCTTGCAGGTAAAGGATGTCGGATTGTGTTTAAGAACCTCAGCTCAGCAGAGTGCATGAGCTTGCACGAAGCACAGGGGCTTGGGTCATGCTGGCTGGGCATCCTTTACACGCTTCTGCTCTGGTGGATCTCAATGTTGGCCATACGGCCCGGAGGGGAGCACGGCATCTGAGATCACAGGCCCCTTTTACCCTTGTGTGAGCATGCCACAGCCCAGGCCATCTGTGGTGAGGGGTTGCTTTGTACTGGAACCAGTGGACTACTAGGTGAAGAGCAAGAGACACTTCACAGAGCTTGGTGGTCAACCTTGAGCCCACAGGTCCCATCTCAGCCCCTGTGCCCTGCTCACTATCTCCAATACACAGGAGCATCAGGCAAGAAGGAAGCGAGCTGTGTATGTGGGGACAGACATGCTCAAGGGTCGCTGTGTTAAAGATAGTCTTTCCCAGTCCCTTATTGCAGCTTGTAAAAAAAAGCTACTGTTTTTCAGTAAAGAAACCGATTCGGACCACCTCACGGTTGGCAACTACAGTAATTCAGAAGACGCTTCCACATGACATACAAACTCCTGGGGTTAGTCTCTTTCTATAATTGTCAAAAACTAAGAGTATGTATAATGTCATGCTGAGTATGTGGGCAGGTGGCTAGTCCGGTGTGGCCTGGAAGTTGCCTTTGCCTTTCTCCCATGGGAGGAGGAGGCGTCATTCTTGCGACTTGGCTGCGGGAGCTGTTTGCGTTGGGTCAAGAATGACGACACGGGCATGCTGTTGTAGCATCAGCATCGTGTCAGACCTCCACGTCTACAGGAAGGTTGCATCAGTGAGCTCCCCCAGTGTAAATCTCGCTGCACAAGGGTTTGTATTGGTTTAGTGGCACAGTTGGAGATATGGGGAGTGAAAACATAGAATGCAGACATGCTAACAGCCCCTCGTCATTCTGCAGACAGAGAGCAGAGTGTACCTTGCTGTACCTTAAAGAGAAGGGCCCTGGCATATCACTGTCAGCAGACAGGGTACGGCTAGAAGGAAAATAAGGTGTTTGGAGGTTGACGTAAGTGTGTGGATGGTTTTGGTGATACTTTTGGGCTCATATTGTCATATCAGATGGATGCAAGAGATTTGGAAGCAGATGGTGCTGTGGCCCTGCAGGGGCAGCTCCACCTTCCTTTACTAACATGCACAAGAAAGAGAAAAAGGAAAGGTTTTCTGCCTCCTGGTGCCTTTAGGTATATGCATTCTCCCTGTAATAAGGTGTTTAAACACAGTGGAAGAAAAGACCTCGTCGTGTATCTTGTGAAAAGGTTAAGTCCTGCACAGCTGAGCTTCAGTGTGGCTTTGGAGATGCAATGTGACTGGTGTGTGCCTGGTTTGTTATCTGTGTACAAGGGCTTTAAATTACAGTAAGTGAAATTGGAGATTGGATGTTAGGAAGCACTTCCCAAGAGAAGAAAGAGGTAAATGCTACAGCAGATGACTTGGGGAAGATATGAAAGCTGTCACGTGTTTCTGAAGGCCTCCCTGGCTCGATCTTGAGGCAGGAAGATGGGAATTGCTCTCTGCCTGCCTTCCAGCCCTGTTTCTGTAATCATGCACATCATCTGTACCTGCGAGTCTAAGTTGTGGTCACCTGCAGACACGGCAAGGTGAACATAAGGTGCTCAGGGTGGCTTGTTTTTGCTGCAAGGAGCCAGAAGTTCTGTTTAGCGATGGGGTAGTAATACAGTGCAGCAGTGGAAATCCCCCTCTTGTAGCCGTAGCATCAGGGCCCGCGCTTCATCGAGGAAATGTTCCGTGTTCCTCTTCACTGTATGGAGAGGGGAGAGCACTCGCTCCGTTTATAACTGTGGTGGTGCGGTGTGTCCCTTTGCACTGTCTGTTGCCAGCACGGCAAGACAGCGTCCCGGGTGGGGAAGAAGCATTTCAGTGTCTGGGTGCTGATCAATCCTGGGTCACCCCCATCTTTATCAGCACGTCGGACCCCACCTGGACCTTTCTACAGAGCAGCGCTCTGTGGTGTGCAGGCGGGGTCACAGCTCCGGCGGAGCTCTGATGGAAGAGGGTGTTCTCCAGGGGCGCTGCGGGTCCCAGGCTCGCCGGTTGGCTCTGCTGGGGTGCCAGCACGGGTGTGCTTTACAGGGTGGTTCCACAGTGCACCAAAGCACCTACTTCGCAGGAGTGTTACTGTAGGAGGGAGAGCACGTCCCACAGTTCCACTTTCTCCTGCATCAACGTGTTTATTTCTGTCCGTTGCTGTCTAGCCCGAGCAGATTTGGTTGTACTCCATTCACATCCAGAGCATCCCAGCTTCCCAGTCTGCTTTTTGAAGAAACATTATTTAGGGTTCAGACATGGTTTTCTTGCTCTCTCCCTTTCATGATCCTTCCCTTTCCTGGTCTGGCTGATTCACATTTGTTTATGAATTCCATATTACCATGGATCCCTCATGTGGCAAACTGGCTCAGATACAGAGGGACAACTGCTGTCATAAACACTGGTTAACAAACCCATTTCTCTCAAATCATAGAATCATAGAATCACAGAACGGTTTGGGTTGGAAGGGACCTTAAAGATCATCCAGTTCCAACCCCCCTGCCATGGGCAGGGACACCTTCCACTAGACCAGGTTGCTCCAAGCCTCATCCAGCCTGGCCTTGGACACTTCCAGGGATGGGCCATCCACAGCTTCTCTGGGCAACCTGTCTCAGTGCCTCCCCACCCTCTCTGGGAAGAATTTCTTCCTGATATCTAATCTAAACCTCCCTGATTTCAATTTGTACCCATTCCCCCTTGTCCTGTCACTACCGGCGCTTGTAAAAAGGCCTCTCCCAGCACCCCTTCAGATACTGGAAAGCTGCAATGAGGTCTCCTCGGAGCCTCCTCTTCTCCAGGCTGAACAAGCCCAATTCTTGCAGCCTTTTGTCATAGGAGAGGTGCTCCAGCCCTCTGACTGCTATTGCACTGTTTCTGGGATATGCCCACTCCCACGTCAAAAATACCCCGGCACCCTGCAGTCAGATTCCTGGAGAGCGCAGCCTATTTCAGGTTTGACACATTACCGAGCAGTAAGGCAGTACTTCAATAAGGCTGGCGACTGCGGAGTAAGGCTTCTCCCCCTGCCACGTGCAGTGGTGCCTGTGCTGTCGCCTGGGTCCTGACTGCCGTTGCTGCCAGGGTCAGTGGTCTCCTCCAAAGAATTGATGGGGGAGGATTTGGTTGTTATAGCTGCATGTGCGCCTGTGAGAGAAAAAAACAACAGAGCCTTTTGCTATTAGCTGCTTAAAACTCCATGCTGGACTCCAAATCCGACGTCCAGCTCCCACCTATCCGACAGGCCATCTGCACTTGGCATCGTGCACCTTTGGCAAGGACAGCTTTCTGCCGGGCCAGTCCGCCCTCGTATCCTCCTATCACTTGCTGGGTACGGGAGAATTCCTTCTCCAAGATGCCTTGTTTTCTCTCTGCAGTCAGTCATGCTGCTCAGGCAACAGGACTTGGAAACGTGCTTTGCCAAAAGAAATCAATTAACCTGCAGGAATCACAAAGGCCGGTGTCACACGCCAGAGATTAAACCCATTCATCACCAGGAGGGTCGGGGCGCACAGGGCAGATGTCACCGGCCTCTCTAATGAACTGATACGGAAGCAAGGAAGTGTTAGTGCTGGTCTCTGCAGCTCTGCCTATGGAAATGAAGCTTTCCCTGCTTTAATTTCCATGCCTCTGTGAAAAGTAGTTCAGGGGTTTATTGCTATGATTTTTTCATTTGTTTGTTCCTTTGTGTAATGGTCTCTGGGCGTTGCTTGGAGATAATTTCTTCTTCCAGGCAGGACAGAGTATCAGGATAGCAACCTCTCTTTCCTGTAAAGCTTCCTCCAGTTCCCACCACACTTCCTTTCAAAACCAGAATTTCCAGGCTTTCAGTGCCTCGTGACTTTTTTGACACTACTTTTATCATTGCCACAATTCCTGGCATATTTTGTAGATTACTTTTTTAGGACAGGAATTCCAGTCACTAAGACTGCCCCTCTCACAAAAACACTCATGAGAAAAATTTCTTTGTACAGCAATTCTTTTTTTTTTTAATCACAATTCTTTTATAACTATTTTCATACTGCTTCAGAAGTCTGACAGCTTAAAGCGGCTTTTAGTAAATTTAGGACTAGCAGAGAACACAATACAGTACATCACTCTGTAATGTTAAACCACAACAATAATCCAATCATTTTTGGTGCAATTTTTATAACACAAATTTAATCCCACCCTTCCAAAGTGATGAGAGAGAAAATGATTAGGAGTGGTTTCTGTAAGAGCTTTTATGCTCTAGTAATAATAACTACTTCAGTTCTTTTTTAAAGCACTCAA